TCTTATATAAAATAACAGGGGATGGGAACTCGGGCTATAGACATGATTTTTAATCCATTTTAAATACTTAAAGTTTTAAAAATAGAATAAAATCTCGTAGACAAATTAATTGCACACCAAGTGAACGCGAAATAAAAAAGCGCATAATAGTGCGCAATATTATTATTACTTTTAAAATTTACATTAGTTTTTTGAGAAATCGGAAGTAGCGTAAAGTACTACTTCCAGTCAACGGAAATGACTCAAAATTTAACAGAAGGTAGAGAATTAGATCTTTTACTTACGTATGAAATTTCATTTATCTATCTGAAATAGTACTCAAGTTATAGGCTTTTGAAAAATTCAAAGTAGGAAAAGTACCACTTCCGGTTATCGGAAATCGCTCAAAAGTTGATACGGATCTACGATTTTGATTAAATACTTATATATGAAATTTCATCAACCTAGCTGTAACGGTACTCAAGTTATCGTGTTTACACACGGGCACACACACACACACACACACACAGACACACAGACATACGGACAAGATTGCAAAATTATGTTTTTCCGTATCAGTGAGATGCAAAACGTCGAGATTTGCAAAAATCTCGATTTTTTTTTTTGCACGATTACAAGACTTTCTCTATACTTCGTATATACGAGAAAGTAAAAAAAGGTAAAACACAAAATGTTTTTGAAATATAAATAAATAACATGACACTTTTACCATCTTGTATACGAATAATAGAGAAAGTATTGTAATCGTGCAATGTGTATGTGTGTGTCTGTGTGTCTGTGTGTGTGTGTGTGTGTGTGTGTGTGTGAACATGATAACTTGAGTACCGTTACAGTTAGGTTGATGCAATTTCATATATAAATATTCTATTGAATTTGTTGATCTTTAACAACCATTCAGCGATTCCCAATAACCGGAAGTGGAACTTTTTCTACTTTCAATTATTCAAAAGCCTATAACTTAAGTACTATTTCAGACGAGCCAACCCGCGGCATATCATACGCCGCTATTTAGTTGTTTTATTTTCTACTTTTCAGTAATTCATAATTTGTGAATTCGACAGTACCAATGCTGCCATTGGAAATATTTGCTTTAAAACACACTCAGTAGGTCGTTAAGGACAATACTACCCCCACCCTCCTTTCCCCCAACACCTACCCTACCCTACACCCCCCCCCCCCCCCTCCGTGAAAGCAGCCTCCTCTAAGTTTAAAATCTTTCAAACTAAATTATCTGCCCTTAATAGTCGTCACTAAACCCGGCTCTACGACTGTAAACATTTAGCTTGAACCAAAGCTCACCAGAACATGTAGGGGTGGGGTGTTAGGGAGCGCGCTTACAGCTTGTTTTCTAGCGTCTCCAAGAAGAGAATTATATATATAGATAGATGAAATTTCACTTTTGAGTAATTTCCGTTGACCGAAAGTACTTTTTTCTATTTCTCAAAAATCGAATGTGAACTTATAAAGTACTAATAATATTCCGACTATTATACACATTTTTTTTTGCGTTCACGTGGCGCGCAATTCTTTTTTCTATGCGCTTCTATACTATTTTGAAAAGTTTAAGTAATTAAAAATGGATTACCAATAATGTATGTATCCCGAGTTGCCATCCCCCTTAGTGTTATATAAGAATATTCGTGGAAGTTTAGGGGAAATAACTCCCGGTTTATTTTCTCCTGATTATTCATTTGTTTTACAAATTTCAAAATTTCAAATGTTATGTAACCAGCAATAGAGTCCAACAGAAGGCATAAAAAATAGCGTTTTAGGCTACGATAGCAAAGAAAATATATACATTTGCAGGTCTTAACTAATTTGTCGTTACCGAACTTTTATTTTTAAATTTCAATTAGACGAAAAGTGGCGCGCAAGAAAAATTTGTACATTCACAATCAACATTTCCAGAAAAAGAAAATAATTCATCTCTAGGTTTAAGCTGAATCACAAAAGCACTTGAAGATTCAACAGATTTATCTTTAGTGAAAATATCACTTATACACGACGTGAAACCACCAGAGCTGTGCCTAACACCAGCTGATACAGCATGATCTCCTGTTTGTTTTATTGAAAAAAGTGCTATATACAGCCCATCAACAGGGGCGGTAAACACTCCAGTGTTTGGATCAAAATGGTTTCCTACGTTACGTTCTACACTTTTAAATGTTATAGATCTATGATTGTTATACCATTTCCAGTCCCAGCAACCTTTTGAAGCAATAAACCCCAGTGTAGAATGCTTTATATGATGATTAGCTGCAATAAATAAAATACAAAATTGTTTCAGCCTAATCTAAACAAGGTTCGCAAACGATTCCAATTATAATAAAGAATCACTTGATTCATGTATTAAAATCAAACAAACGTATTATTTTGTGCTATTTTCTTTTATGTATGTATGAGAAACGTGTATTTTATACTCAAACTGGTAGATTAACATTTATAAACTACACATGTCTGTTGAATGCGCATACACCACACAAGACATCAAACCCTGCACATTATAGACCAGTTGTCTATTATGGAAAAGTCTCATATTTATTTTGACGGTTCAGCTTGAAACTACGCTATTATCTCTATTTATTTTTATGACCATAGACTAATATTGGTTTGACAATGCTTATTAGTGGGTTGTTTCCCGTTTTTAAGTACCCAAAAATGTCTTCCCGTTTAACGTCCATAACATTACTGATATAATATAGGCCAATATAAATAGTCGATCCAAAAATAACAATTAGACTACATCTTAGGTGTAATATGACAATAACATACTTCTACATAAAAAATCACACGTGGCAAAGCACTTTAATTAATGTCAATATAAATGTATTAAAAGAAATTACCTACCGATTGATTGTAAATACTGTGTCAACTTTAAAACACAATTTTCCAGAGTTTCAATCTAAGGACAGAACATTAGTTACTAAAACACATGACTGATAAACTATGCACACCACTACCAAGAAAACAGATTTCACCGTATCAAATAATTATTAGATACACTTCATTACCATAAACACAGATACTTTGAGAATTGATATACACGTAAAATAAAATTTCTACATCGCATTTTTATTTGTTACTAAAAATGTTTTATGTATCAGGTGTAAATTGATTTGTTGAGTACATTGTCTTGAACAAACTAAGTAATCAATCTCGTTGAGACGTAGATGATAATATAACTTTTCATATTTTGAATATCTGGTAAAACACTTTATAACAGAAAATGCATTAAATACAATTTACATCTTGGTCTGTCAATAAGATTAAACATTTCTTTATGATTACGTATTCTATTCACTGTTAGTTTTAGGATTGAATATAGATAAAAGATTTGTACTGATGATATAAAAATACAAAATTATGTTAAATAGGCAAGTATTTTACTGTACTACATGAACGTAAAGCTATAAACTTTACCTTCATTCTTTTCTCGTACATAGTGGCACAGCTTTGATTATATGCTTCAATAATTTTGTCAATGGGCATCAATCTTCTTTGTACAAGTTTGCAAATCACAGCATGCTGAAGAGAAAAAATATAAAAGTCAGTGCTTAATAAACGACTATACATATGATTGCAAAAATAAAACATATTAGACCGAACAATGTTGGAAGAAATTATATAAATAATAAAATAAGGGTCGGGCAGGGGCGTAGCGATGGGGGGGGGGGGCAGGGGGTACATATGTTCCCGGGCGCCGACCTTAGGGGGCGCCAAAATGGGTTGTAAAAACTAATTAAAATGTCATTTTAGCTGCTTTTTAGTATTATAAATAGTTTGGGGGGTGAAAATCAAAAGTTTGAAGGGGGGGTGCAAATCGATGGGGGCGCAAGATTGAAAGTTTGTCACCGGGCGCCGGGAAGGGTCGCTACGCCTCTGGGGTCGGGTAATTTAGAGAACAACTCAATAGTGGTTATCGTAGTTTAAAACCAAAATAATGGTAAATGACTACAAGACAGACCCTTAATTTGATGGACATATGGTGGAGACATACATACGAAAAAAGAGACCAGAAAACGAGAACAACCAATCAACACATAATTCTATATTGAAGAAGTTTTTAAAGTAGCATAAAACCATCGGCAGACTGTTATACCACAAATAAATGTATAAATTAAAAACATTTGATTGATTTTCTAAAAGTTACATAAGAGATTATATATAGACCTTTAGACAATAAAAATGAATGTCAAGATATCTACTAATAAAACTCTGTCTTAACGAACTTATCTAATTAGTACTTTAAAAGGTACCTTAGATAATAATGTTTTAACTGTGGTTGTTGTATCTTCTTGTATAGCAGATATCAAATCAGAATGTCTTTTAATTTCTTGTGTTACATGATCTGTTTTATCTGTGTAAACTCTCATCTCTTTATTTAATGTGTGCAGGTTGTTTTCATATTCTTTCATATCTAGAGACAGTTTCTCCAGTGTTTTGTCTGTGTCTGATTCTTTTGTTTTTAAACTGTCAATTTGTTGATTCAGCTTTTCCATTTTATTATCTTGTTCTATTATTTGTTTTCTTAAGTTTTTAAAATTCTCTTTTTGTTTCTTGGACAACTTTTCAATTTTTCTCCCCACATCACTGTGTTCTGTTACAAAGTTGTCTCTCCACTGTTTTATTTCTGATATGTCATCTTCAGCTTTTTGTTTTGTGTCTTGAAGGGTTGATAAAAATGTTTCAATATCCTTTAGTCTTTTTGATGTTTCTGAATTGTATTCAACTGTTAGATAAAATAGTAATATGTGGTAACAGGTAGGCTAAATGGCTGAACAAAAATATGACTTTACTACACATCTAAAACTATTGTTAATATAAATAATATGTAGACAAGAAATGTATAGTTCATTAAATATTTAAGTAAAAGAAATCATGCTGGATACTTTTTATTTTATTCATGTAATGTTAAAATTCATGTATTCTCTTACATTACTACTGGAGTGCTATGTATTTTGATGAATCATTTTTACTTTTGTTTTAATTATACTGCTTATAATTATTGATTGTGTTTACACTTTTCTTTTCATTGTCTTTTGTTGTGTTGATCAGTGATTGACAATTTAGGGAGTATAAGTAAATGTACCAGATAATAAGTCTTTAGAAATTAATCCACTATCTGTTGGTTGCAAACTTTCTGGTGTTGTCTTTTCTCCTGTTATCACAGTGGGAGGGTAGAGCTTTGTGGATTCTGTCAACAAGATATAAACATGATGCACAGCAGTTAACATTAATATAAATCAAGGTCTGGCCAGAGAATTGTCATTTGTATGTACAGTGGCAAGTTTTATTTATAATATGGTTCTTTTATACATCCTTAACACTAACTTTATTTAATAATAAATTAAACTTAAACGCCAAGTTTTTTAAAGTAAAAATTGTTGAACATAATTAACAGTGTAATTCAACAATATGCCTAATATCAAAATAATTTTTAGAATTTAATTATCAGACCTGTAAAAACATCTGTGAGTTCATGCAAAGTACTTTGTGCTGTTTTTACCATAGCAATAGCATCTTTCACATCTTTATTGGAGTCCTGAATGTTGCCTAAACATCCATTGGCTCTGATCTTAATCTTGACATGTAAGAAAAGTGAGAAAAGTGTATTAAAGTTATTCTTCTTCTTCGTTCTAAATTTTAGTGTTGGAAGGGATGCCCTCCAACACAATTAATTATTCTTGTCAACTGGTTATGCACCATTGAGGTCATTGACTCTTTTTGGATTTGCTCCCATAGCCTTTGTCTAACCAAGAACAAACTACAAGCAAGCAGTTGTTTGATTTTGGAGTTTTCTCTTGTAGAAGAGTGGCTGTTCCCAGCTAACAAGTCTCATCTGCCTGAGGGTTCAAACTTGAGACTTTTTCGTTTAACAACAATGAGCTTTACCGACTCGACCCCTAATTAAAGTGATTGATTGAACAATGCAAATAACAGTCTTACATGATAACATTGTTTTAAAAGTTTTTGTTAAAGGGTGTTTTTTCTTACAGAATATGTAGATAAATCTAATGGGATAATATTATTATTTATGTACAATCTAATTTTTACTTTATGTTATAAAGTATTAAATAAAATCTTCTACGTGTCATATACACTTTTTGCATATAGTATATTGTGTATAACATATTCCTTAGATTCATCTACATAACCAGTGGATAAAGACATGTATTATGTAAAACACTGAATGATCATGTGCTGATCATATTTATTTTATTTGAAACACCTACTTCATCCCATTAGATTTATCTACATATTCTGTAAGAAAAAACACCCTTTAACAAAAACTATTTTAGAGCATATTATTTTAAATACCAAGTGAAGCATGTCACTAAAAGGCACACCAACGCAAATAAAAACATTACAATTTACCTGCTGTACAAAATCACTGATGCTACTCTGTAGATAAACATTTGACTCATCCAATAGTTCAAGTTGACCAGTCAAATGTTTCTTTAAGTGTTGATACATCTACACAAGACATATTTTATTTTACTTTGATGATACATTTTAGTCAATTTAATTTCTTAGTCAGATGCTTTCTTTAACAGATTTTGAAATATTACATGTTAGACTTATATTTTAAATGATAAAATTAAAAACTAAACTAAATTGGAAAATAACTTTTGACTAATAAAGTAATTCTAGTTTATTAATATTATGCATTGATCTATATTATTGCATAACTTTTAAAATGGCTACAGTTTATTTTGAAACTAGATCTACATTTATATTATTTAGACATTTTTTTAATTTTCGTTTTGTAAACTACATGCGAACTTACATTAAAGTTCTAAATTCTACTTAGATTTAAATCAGTAATACCTTAAAATTATTTTGATTTTGTTTTACAGACGTGAAGCAAAATGGCTTATCTTCTTTTCCTATTAACACTGAAAAATAATAACGGGAAAATCCAATTTCTCTGCATTGTTCAATTCACTTTGTGGAATTAAAATTTAGAATCTTTAAGTGTTTACTATTTGATATTTTTGTTATTAAATTATATACTAACAGTAAAACAAACTATATTATATGTTTGCTAAATGTTTTTAAAGAGCTATATTATAATTCATCTTCTGTATAACACGTCATGTATTGCCTAAACATGAAAAAGGAATGAAAGTGAAACCTTTACATTGCTGCTGAATCTACGCGTATTTTTCTTATATGTTATAACACCCTACTGCTATTTAATTAACAAAGAGTTATATTAAAGTCTAATCAATAATAAATTTCATTTGTCTCACTTAATTATAAAGACATTGATACATTTTTTACTTGCAGCGTCCTTGTCTATCGTGTGTGATGTATAAGGATACTCATTGTCTTTAATAGTGCATTTGTGCAATATGTAGTTTGCTAAATTTTTATTGTTTTTGGTTTGTTTGTTTTTGTGTTTTTTTTCTTTTTGTTTTTTTTTTAATTGAAGGCGTTTTATTTCAATCCCAAGTGTTCCGGCGATCACTGGTGTTGCCGAACAAATTGTAAGCAGTTGATGTTCCAGTGTTCTTGTAATTTTAGTCAGAGTCTCAACTAGTGTCTTTAATTTGACTCCATCACCTCCACACCCCATTCCATGACCACTTCCACCATCTGTTTTCTCTGTTTGAGGACAGCTGCAGGTGACTTGATAAGATGTATATTTTTTCCACTTCCCTTCTGTCTGCTTCTTTTCTTAGCTCAATTCCTTTTTTAATCTATTAGCAATGAAATGATTTAAAAACACCTCCCCTTTTCCAAGAGAACATTATCCGAAAGAAACACTTTTTTCAGTTGTAATGTTTTTTGTTATTTAAAAATTGATATATACAGTAACAATTGTTCCGTTCTTAGATTGAAACTCTGGAAATAGATGCTTTAAAGTTGTCACAAGATTATAAAAAAATGATTAGGTAATATTTATTTGGTAAACTGCTGACTTTAACATATAGTAGAAACAATACCATCTTAATATAATACCTAAACTCTACTTCACTGTCCCATTGTGCCACCTTCCATCTCCACACCTGCCGTTCCCCTTAAACTAACTGAAAAAAGCCCTGCTTATGATATGCTAGCAAATGTATTTATATTTGGTTGTCTCTGCTAGTTGATTGTGCTTATATTTAATTAATTCTCTCAGCTAGTTAGTTGTGATTATTGTTAATTTCCTCTGCTAGTTGATTGTGTTTATTGTCAATATTATCTGCTAGTTAATTGTGATTACATTTCGTTTTATTTTTCTAGTTCGTCGAGTTCCTGTTCAGTTTTATCTATTATTTGACTGTGATTTCTGCTATATTTATCTATTATTTCATTGTGTATATCAGGAATTTAATATTATTGATGTGATGAAAGTTATTGTGGAAAACATGTGTAGTAAAGTTAAATTGTAAAACGAATAGAAAAAAGTTAGTATAACCCTTTAAAAGTGAAAACAACCCACCTACAACATTAGTCAAACCATTCATAGTCAGCAGTACGAGCAAGATAAATACATAGTAAGAGAGTGATGTATAATCATCTCTTCATTTGGCGGAAGTTTAATTGTTTGGACTGAAAACAGGCATCCTCCAGGGGCGGAACTACAGTGCCGACAGACCCCGCAATGCGCAGGGGGGGGGGGCATGCCATTTAGGGGCCCACGGCCGACCATAATAATTTTTTGTGTAGTTAAAAAAAAATTCTTGCAGTTTTGACTTGATGGTTGTTTTGTAAAAAGATTACCGTAGCTGCGGTTGAATTATCTTTATTCTATAGACTCCACCCCACGCTCTTGTATATTCTTTTTTTTTCATTGTTTTTAAACTACTGTAAAAGCCGAGCCCTCTTTCTCCTACAATCAAACGTATCAAAGATAAGCAAACGTTCAAACCACTTCCATGACTTATTTCCCTTTTTTAAATAGTCAAATAAGGTGCTCATAAGCTCCATTTAATAGATTTGTACTAAACAAATTAAAAAGCAAATATTTTACTTAATTTATTTTTTTATAAAGTACTAACTAAAGAATGACATCGTATAAAAAAGAAATGTGTTTAAAATTAATAATATAAATAAAAAAATAAAAATAAAAATAAACATAACACGAGACACCATTACTTACACAAAGTTTTGATGTTTTATATTTTTATAATCTTTTGATCGACTAAAGGGTAATAGGTTCCATAGCAAAGACGAAAAACTGATTAACACACTAATGCATTTACACACATGACATGATGTTATAATTTATTTTAATAATTAAACAATTTTCAAAACCCGAACAGGCCAGCAAGGAGTATCATATGTTCTTATTTTGTTTATATATATATATATATATATATATATATATATATATATATATATATATATATATATATATATATATATATATATATATATATATATATATATATATATATATATATATATATATATATATATATCATCGTTAGAGTAAGAAATATTGTAATGAGCAGAGACAATCTTTTATTTTATTTCTTGCAGCCAATCATACACATGAACATACTGCACCTGGGTTTATTGCCTCACAAGGTCACAGGCAACACAATAGTGTTTTTAAATTTCATGCTGTAAAACGAAACGTAGGAAACCATTTTAATCCAACCACTGGAGAATTTTCCGTCCCTGTTAATGGCAGGTATAAAGTAAGTCTTACAATAAAACAAACGGAAGATCGAGCTGTATCAGCTGGTATTTATCACGATTCTGTTGTTGCGAAGTTATTTCATGGTGCTGTTGCGACTAAAAAAAAATGTGTTGAAGCATCAACAACAATTGATGTTTGTATGAAACCTGGAGATGTGTTATATTCATACACTGCCTATGATGATTGTGAATGTACACATTTGTCTTGTGTTATTCTTGACGTCTAGCTTCCAAATATTATAAAATAACCTTCACTTGCAAAAAAAAGTTTTTATTGTAATGTCAACAAGTGTTGAATTTTTTAAAATTTATTAAAGAGTTAATATTGATTTTAATCTGAAAATATATGCAACATATTATTAAATGACGATTTTTTAAAATATTCAATACAAGCGACATCGATCTTTTTCATTGCTGGCCTAGTGTTTTATACGATGTTAATTGTACGAAAACATATATCATGCCCATTAACAAAAATAAACAATAATATTAAACCTGTATTGCTTGCCTTTATGTATTATTAAAACAAGTTTATGTATTTCATTAACAAACACTGTTATATTTAAAGAAAAATTCAGTATTATTGATTGGCGTAAATGACATGTCGCTGACGTTGTCTTTTTAGATGTGGTCCTGTTTAACATTCTGTCATTATAACTGTAAATTTAAAACCAAGAAACAGCAAACATTAGAACCTGTGGACATACTTATCAGTCAGTCGTCATTTGTATCCGGATTGCAATCTTAACAGTTGAAAAGTAATATTTAAAAATATTTTCTTGTATTCCCTAAAAATGATTTCCTATTTCACAACAGCTAATGCAGTTACTAGCAACCGTAAGAGTGTGTGTCACATAGGAAATGCAGATTTTGTGAGTGCCAAAGACATAACTATGTATGAATTTGATCGTGTTTTCAACTAGACACGAACCCCATAAATCACTCCTCTTGAGAACGTCTGTGCTGACTACCGCTGAAAAAGTGTTCTTGATTTTCTTTTAATGTCACTTAAATGTACACATCTTTGTTCTAAATTATTGTAAATAATCATTCAGTTAGTATTATTTTGCTTTTTTCCTACGGTAAATTAGACTGTATATTGTTCCAGTCACATAACTGTGCTACAATTTTTTTATGGCATTAGGCATGCTTACAGCATAGGCAAAAAATAAAGAAAATTACAACATTACTCAAGACAGCTTTAGTTCCTTTCCCTTCGCATTATAAAATAACTCGATACTGTGATGTCTTTATAAACCACAACCAGAGACGTAGATTATAAATACAAAATGCAAACGACGAATTTACCAAAATTTTGATTTCGCCAAACTTGGACGAGATTATTGTTACACAAACTCAATGTTCTGTTATTTGGAGTGAATCTTTCAATGATTTTTATTTATTCCAACTGGTGAGGTAGGATAGTGTCACATGGGGTCTGACACTTAAGTCTACGTCTACCACAATTATTCTCACCGACAGTAAATAGGTTGACACCTGGTCACTGAGGCGTAAAACTCATCAGCCATTTACTGAAAGTTGATTCAATTTATTTTAATCTAGTTTTTCAAGTGTAACTGCCCAGCTGTAAGCTAATGCTGAGAAAAAGTCGTACAAACTTGGTCAGTCTAATTAGCGTTATTGAAAAATTCAAAATAAAAAAAGTACCACTTCCGGTTATCGGAAATTGCTCAAAAGTTGATATTGATCTACAATTTTGATAAAATACTTATATATGAAATGTTATCACCTAGCTGTAACGGTTCTCAAGTTATCGTGTTTACAGACACACACACAGACACACACACAGAGACATACACACAGACATACGGACAAGATT